GTTCTGGGGAGAATCCACCACACTGGGTCTGAGCTCCGCTGCATCGACCACACATCCTGAGGGTCAGACGTCCCAGAACCACAGCTCCCAAGATACACTGGCTCCCGCAGACGTCAAGAGGCGGGGAGCGTGGCCCAGAAGGGAAGCAGGACCAGCGTGCGTGGGCGCGGTCGGGGCTGAACTCACGGAGGAGACCATCCCAGGAAGTGGGGTGTCTTAGCGCTCAGCCCTGTGCAGTGGAGCCACACCAACAATGGGCCCTGAAGGCACCTCGCAAGTGTCTCCCAGAGCTAGGCGTGGTCATGTCGAGGACGCCCGGCCTGGGACTGTCTCCTGTCTGCATACGAGTTACACGAGATGGACCAGGCAGTAGAAATGGAAACAACAAGGTTGAGAGAGGTGGAGGCACTGTCCCCCAGCCCTGTCCTCACCTCCTGGGGGCACCCCTCCGGCCCCATGGGCTTTGTCCTGTTCGGGTCCTACACCTCCCCACCAGTGCCACGATCCTGGTCAGTCTTCCTGCCAATCACACCTCAGCCCCTGGTCATTGCTGCAGTGACCGGACGGGGCCAGAGGGCCAGGGAAGCCTCACAGCCGTGGTGGCCTGCCTGGTACCGGGTGCCTGTGATCAGGAATGCCGTCTGTCTTTATTTCCTTCCACTTCTGGGGGAGCTCCTTTTGGATACTTGGTGCAGCTCATCAGCGCTAAAAGGGAAAGAGCGGTGGAGGCCAGGGAGGGGTGCAGGCAAGGGCTTTGAGAATGCTCCTCCCCTCCACCCCCGGTCCTGGACAAAGGACCACCGAGGACTCGGCGGGGGAGCGGCAGAGGGGCCATGCGGTCCCCAGCTCCGACACTGCAGGGGTCTGGCTGGGAGCCTGGAGGGCCCTGTGGGTCCAGGTGCGGAGGCCACACGGTACACACACAGGCACACGGACGCCCCCCTGCCTATGTGGCACAGACACTGTGTATCTGTGCCTTCCCCTCCCCGCCCCTCACATGAAACCACAGGGGCTTTTGTTTTTTATTTTCTTAGCATTTTTTTCTTCTTACCCTGATCGAATTGATGACTAGGGAAGTATGTGGCTTGGTAAGCAAAATTCTTCCGAAGACAGAATTCCAAAGCCCTCGGCAGCCGTGACCTCACCACACGGACGCGCACCAAATCACGGCTGTTTGCATAAATCGCCGGGGCCTGGGGGCAGCACACAATGGCCACGTTGACACCGAATTCCTCGCGTTCTGGAGGCCCCCACCCCACGTGGGCGCAGTCCCGTGAAGCGAAACTCCTGTGTTGTCTGCGTCTGTCCCCAGCCCCGGAGCCCCGTCTGTGTCCTCCCCCCTGGGGCCCTTGGTGGACACTCACCCTTGACTGAGTGGAAGGACAGGCTGGACTCCAGAGACCAGGAGGCTCCTCAGGAGGGGAGAGGATCCACTGTGCACCAGGCCCCACCTGCCACACTGGGAACCGAGGCCCTGTCCTCTGCCCAAGGCTCAAGCCGCCTTGAGAGAACCAGAGCTGCTTCCCACATCTTGGGCTGACTTTGTCCCGATGGGAAGGTCTAGGGGAGGGGAGGTGGGGGAGGTGGGTGTTCAGGCTGCCTAGGGCCTTGGCTGCCTGTCCCTCCCCCCAGGGCCCTCCAGGACCCCTGGCCTCTGCCTCAGCGGCCAGCCCCACAGACGCTGCCCCATGGCCCCTATTACTGGACTTCACAGCACTTAGCCACCTACCATCCGGGTAGAATCTTCTGCCCGCACGCGGTAGGCCCTCACTCAGCACTTGTTGAATGGGTTGGGGTTAGGGTTAGGGTTAAGGTTAGGCCCTCACACCTCCAGGGTCTCACCAGCTCCCCTGGAGCACCTCCAGTCACAACCACACAAAGCAGCCGGGGTGAGAAAGGCGGCCCTGGGGGAGGGGACAGCACCCAGGCCTGCATGACCGATCTCACTGATTCCCTGTCACATGACGCCCAGAACCACTGGCTACGCAGAAAGCTGCCCCAAATCTTACTCTGCAGAAGGGAATGCTGACAGCCTGGCCCAGCCAGTTCCCACCACACAGGCCTGAATTCAACAGTTTAATCAATTAGTGAGAGGGACGCCTCTGTGTCAGCTGCAGCTCTAATGAGGGGCTCCCTGCCCCCACCCGTGGGACGCACGGCCTCCCTGGGCCCCTCAGCAGGGCCGCACTCAGCCCTTGTCCTCCACAGGCAGGCGCAGCCTCCGGAGCAGGTCTGGGAACCTGGCCCCGCAGCCCCAGCTGGATGCTTAGCCACACAGGGCCAGGCCCTCCCTGCAGCCACCTTTCCTTCCAGAACCCAAGTGGCAGAGCCTGGGAGGCCAGGGAGGCTGACACAACTGTCTCCGTTCGTGGACAAAGACACAAAACTCCTGGGGACACTGGACGTGGTCTAGTGGGATTGAAGTCATAGGGACGATGGGTGGGGGAGCCAGGACTCACTCCCCCTGCAGCATTTCTCAGCCTCGACACACCACAGACACACACACACAGAATCCCGCACTGCAATCTCTCTGCAGATTCAATTCCAAAGCACCAGCACAGGGAGGTGCGGCCAGGGCCCAGGCCCCTCCTGCAGAGACTCAGGCCTGGAGCCTCCCCCTAATCCGTTCAGGTCAGGGCGCAGGGTCCAGGGTCAGCGCGAGTGCACGTGTGTGAACACATGCACACGTGTGCAAGTGTGTGCATGTGTCGCTCTGTCTCTGCCTTCCACCACCTCTCTCCACGTCACCCCTGCCCAGTGTCCACAGCATGGGTGGCTTCGGGCACTGAACACGCCAGCTGCATGTGCCCTTCTGACAGTTGGACTGGACCTCCCAGACTGCTTCCAGATAAAGGCCCTTCTTCACAGCATGCAGAGACACTGGGCCGAGACCATACAGCAGAGCTGCTGGTCAGCCAGAACAACCTTCTGGAGACCCTCTGAGTGCCCAGCCTGAGCCCCCTCAGGGCTCATCCTCGAGGACGTGCACAGGAGGGCAGGAGTTCTGGCGTCAGAGAGTGGGCTGGGCACCTCGGGGCCTCAGACGCCCCAGGGAGGCTCTAGGAGCAGGAAGGCTCAGGTTGGAGGGAGGGAGGGGCTCTGTACCCCCTAGGAAAAGGTGACATTTCTAGCCCTGCCCCCACGGCCAGTGGCCAGGACCGCTAGGGGTGCTCCGCTTGGTCCTAAGCTGTCAGCAAGGAGCCCACACGCCTGCACCAGGCGCCTGCAGGGGCGGACCCTCCGCACCAAACCTGCCTGATGAGCCCTGCCCTCCCTTCAGACCCAGCAAGAGGCCTCCACCCCCAGGGACTTCCTACAGAGCTTCAGCCTCACATGGAGGGAACACTGCAGCCCACCCGATGCGGCACACGGGGTCAAAGCCTCCTCGGGCAGATCGCAGCACCCCTGTCCTGGTGAGAGAGCAGGACACCAGCCCTGAATCCCGTCTCTGGCTCTGCGCACCAGACAGCCCAGAGAACCCGAAGCGTGAACCCAGGAGCCGGTCCGCCCTCCCCGGCTGTGGGCCTGGCACGTCTGCGGCTCTTGACACTCGTCCTCCTGGCATGGAGCATCACAGTTACTAACCAGGAGGACCTGTGCCCGTACCCCTCCTGTTTCAGGTCATCGCCCTGCTCCCTGTGCTGCAGGACTGAGCACCTGCTTCTTGTCGTGACCTGCAGGAGCCCGCAGGTCTGTGCCAGGGCACGTCCAGGCTGTCGCACACCTGAGCCAGGGCACGCGTGAGCTGGGCCACACCTGAGCCAGGGCACACCTGAACCAGGGCACACCTGAGCCGGCAAACAGTGCCTCCTCTGGTGTGCCTGAGTTTTCGGTGTAGCCGGCTCGGTGTTCACTGATCAGTGTCAGCCCCTCCCAGGTCCCCCTGCGTCTCAGCAGCTGTTTGGAGGGAATCACAGGCTCAGGTCTGACTACTTGACATCCTACTGACGCCCCAGCTGGGGTGAAAACTGTCTCCCAAGATTTCTATCTACCCAGACCTCTGAATGTGAACTTATTTCGAAATGGGGTCCCTGCGGGTGTGACCAAGTTGAGGTCTTCCTGGATCAGGGTGTACGTGTAACAGGAGGGAAATCTGGACAGACTCTCGGAGGGGAAGGCCAAGCGACGGCGGAGGCGGACCCGGGAGGTGTCTGCAGGCCAAGCAGCCCCGAGGACCGCCGGCAGCAGCAGCAGCTGGTGGAGACAGGGAAGGCTCCTCCCCTGGAGCTTTCGGAGGGAGCGTGGCCCTGCCAACACCTTGCCTTTGGACTTCTGGTCCCCAGAACCGTGAGAGCAGCAGCGTCTGCTGTCTAAGCTCCAGGGTCGTGGTCATTTGTTACGGCAGCTGCAGGACACTGACTCATCCTTGAGCATATGGGGTCAGACCAGCCCCTGGGTGTCCAGAGACGTGCTGTGGCCTCAGGCATTTGGGGGAAGCTGAGGCCAAAGGGCAGGATCTGGGTTAACAGGAAGGGGGAGGGCAGACGCTGCAGGGAGGGGGGGTCCACCAGGAGGAGGACGGGCACCTGGCAGTGGCCACCCAGTGCCCAGTGTTTTCTGGGGCCTGGGGGGTCACAGCCGCACTTACAGCTGGGCCCAGTGTGCAAGGCCCCAAATGCCAGGGCCAAGGGGCTCCCTCGGGGGTGCTGAGCCCAGGAGATGCCCTGGCGTGGCCCCAGCACAGCGCCACACACCCTGACCAGGGCCAAAGACAGACGTGCTGCTGACCCATCAGAGGCTGGTCTTTATTCCCTGGAACGGAAACAGCCTGCAGCCCAGAAGTGACCACAGCGGGAAAGGCAGAAATAAAATAAAAACCCGTAAGTCTTTGGCTCCATAAATTCTCATCATAAGGAACTACTCTGAACCCAAGCCAGGTGCCAGGTGTCCACTGTGGGCTGCAGCCCCACACCTCACCCAACACACCAGCCAAATGCAATGGCGCAGGTGCATCGGAAAACAGTACGGAGCAGCCCACAAAGGCGTCTTAGACACGGAGCTTGCTTCCTGTGGACATCTTTTTTTAAAAAAATATAATAACTTAGTTGGCATATTACAGCATTTCCAGTCCCTTGGTCAGGGAGTCCTCGGCCGTGTCCCTCCACAGCTCAGGTGCAGGGCACCCACCGGAGCCAGCATCCACCACGGCAGCAGCAGCCACGCAATGTCACTCCGTGCCCACCTCGCAGGGGTTCAGCCCCCTCTCCTCGGCGTCCCTGTACATCCTTTGGAAGTCCTTGAAGCGCGGGGCGCAGCCGAGCCAGGCCTCCCCGAAGTGCATGTGGCCGGTGAAGAGGAACTCACCCCGCCCGGGCCGGACGCCGCACTCCAGCAGCGTGGACACGTGCCCTTGCCAGCCGCCGCCTCCAGGGGCTGGCCGGAACACCCTGCTCTTCTGCCGGTAGAGCCGGCTCACATGCAGGTGGATGGCTGACTCCTGCCGCTCTGGTTCGTGGGTGACGTCCTGGATGGAGCCTCGGACGACTGCAGAGGGAAGGAGACCAGGGTCAGCGAGTCTGCTCACCAAGCAAACAGCAGGACGGGAGCTGACCCTGAACTCCACCCTCCAAAAACTCTTGTTGAAAAGCATGGTTCACACACATGGGGCTGTCTAGGGGTCATCCCCACCACTCAAACTGTCGGGGAGTAGGAGATGTTTTTCTGCCAAAGGCCAGCCATGGAAGTGGGGAAAACAAAGCATAAGCCAACTTTTCAAGTCAGCACAAGAAAAGCTACCGCAGTTAACACCCCAGACCTGCCGCGGTTCGGTATCAAGATCAGACAGACACGGTGAAGCTTCGAGGGAGAGAGGTGGGGTGGGAAGAAGAAAGGCAGAGCCGACCCCACTTGGGGACCGCGCACGGCCCGGACCCTCCACACGGGCCAGAGAGAGGAAGGAACCTGTGCTTCCGCCACATGACTGCCCTGGGGGCGGGGGGTGCCCAGAGCCAGGACCCTGGGGCCAGCTCCGTGGGCACTGCACAGCAAAGCACCCGAGAGCCAATGTCACGAGCAGACGGCTGAGCCCCGACCTCAGCCCGGCCCTACCAGGGCCTCGAACTCCCCCCGGCGCCTCAAGGGGGGACCCAGATGATGAGGATGGGGGCTCTGAAGAGAGGCAAGAGCCAGCACTGGGAGTGACGACCTCATGCACAAAGTCGGAAAACGCTCAGTATCACCCCAAACAGGAATTCCCACCCCCCGCAGGAACTCCCAGCCCTCTCCCTGCCACGTACACAGGTCCACTCCCTGGGGCTGGAAGTCTAATAGCAGAAAGGAAGGCAACTGCGATGGGATGGCCAAGCCCAGGGCCTTCAGCAGAGCCTCCTCCCCCCAAGGGTTTAGTGCCAGCACCTCAGGTCCCGGGGCCTAAGAGGCCTCCCTCCCGGGCGGGAATCCCAAGTACACTCACCAAAGTCACTGGTGCAGACTGCCAGGAGCACCTCTGTGTGGCTGCAGGGGCGGCACAGGGCTGCGGGGAGAGAACAGGGTCAGGAGGGGCCTGAGGACGGGCGGGGGCACAGACCCTCCTGCCCGTGGCGTGGACGCCACACAACATCCTGCAAGTCCTCTGATGCTGGGGGTGGCTGTCCAGGCCAAGTGGCCCTGCAACCAAGGTGCTGAGAGCAGGAGGGAGGTGGCCTCAGCCGCACAGGCCGGGAGACTCCTCCTGGGGCCCGGGGCTCACCTGGGCCACCTGCGATGGCGTGAAAGCTGAGGGAAAGTGGGCTCCGTGCTCAACCCCACGCAGCTCGTTACCGCAGCTGTGCCGCGTGAGCAACCAGTAGACTCACGTGTAAATCGCTCTTCGGTGTCAAAACCAACCCAAGCTGGTCCGAAGCCACGTCCCTGACACCAACCCAGCCAGGAGCCCTCACGCAGCTTACACAGCCGAGGCCAAGATGACGAGGCCTCCCACTCACAACGCCTGCTCCCCACTGTCCCGTCTGCTGCCACGATCCCACGGGGATCAGGACTGCCTGCAAGGACCAACGCGGCCGTGACTCTGCTGAAGGTGTCAGAGGGGTGGTCCACTGGCTTCAGCCACGGGGCCCTCATCCAAAGCAGAGGAGCAGTAAGTTCAAGTCGGGCCTGCTGGGCCTTGGGACCAGGTGACCACCTCCAGACACCTCCAAGCCACTCTCACAGAAAGCCCAGTTCCTTGACTCCCCCCAGGACTCCCAGACCAGGGCAAGGGCTGACGCCCCCAGCCAAATCAGTCCTCCCGCAGGGGCCCTCTGCCCGCCCAGCCCTCACCCCGCCCTGACCAACTGCCTCAGCTGGGCGCGAGGCCTCCAGAAAGGCCGGGGGAGACCAGAACTGAGAGGCTCTGGAGACCCAAGCCCATGGCGCTCCCACATTCAGCGGTGGGTTGGGGGGACGCGAGTTTATTTATCTGGTAGCGCATGTTTCCTCACCTATTTCAGGTTTCTGGGTTTGGGCCCAAGTCCCCTAAAACAGAAACGTTAGGTGTGAACTCTCACCAGGACCAGGTCCCCTCAGCCCATTCACGCTCTAAAGGCCCCACAGAGGCCCCAGCCTTGGTGCTCAGTGGGCCTGGCCGGTGCCCTCGGTGCCCCTGAGCTGGGCCAAGCTGTCACCTGCCCGGGGCTGCCCAGGCCCCACTGGGAGGCGCCCCCGAGAGAAGCAGGAGGGGCCTCTGGACCCAGCGCGTGTGCAGCACCTGGGACCCCACGGGGGTGGACGCGCGCGACCAGAGCGCTGGCCCCTGTCCTGCCCCCAGGCAGGGGTGGATGTACGCACCCCAGTCCAGCCCAGCGAGCGCATGACTCATGGGCGCCGCGGCTTCTGTTCAGTTATCAGGAGAAGGGCGAAGCCGTGGAACCAGAACAGCCTGTCAGGTGCATCTGGAGCCCGTGGGGGAGGACTGGGCGCCTCCGCCGCCCCAGGCCTGGAGCCCCTGCCCACCCAGGGCTTTCTGGCACCAGTGTGGGCCCCCAGCCTCTAGGCTTCTCTTAAAGAGAGAGTGGGCAACTAGGGGTCCCCCCACCACTACCCCGTTGGGGGCCTGCCACCCTCACTGGGCCTAACAGAGGCCACCACCCGTCGGGAGTGAGGAAAAGGGGGCAACACAGCCCCACAGGCACCCCATCCCGCCTCGAGGGGCCCCAGCAGTGGTGAGACTCCCCATCTGGGAGGCACCCCCAGAGCCTATGGGGTCAGGGGCCCCCACTTGGGGCCCTCAGGGACCAGGCCATGTGAGCTCCAAGGGCGGGTGGACGGGCGGCAAGGTCCACACAAGCTCTCTGTAGGCTGAGATGGGCCCAGGCCACACAGCGTGATGGGACCCTGGGCCCGGGCGTCTTGCCCTCTCCGTGGTCATGGGCCCCAGCCCTCGGCTGACGAGAAAGGTGGCGTGAGCTTGTCCCGGGGGCCCTGCCCTGACCCGCACAGCGCCCCCAGCCCCACACAGAGGAATGGGGACCCCAGTGGCCCCGGTGGAGGGCAGTCGGCGGCCTGCAGGCCCGCCCTCCAGAGGCCTCAGTGAGTCGGCACCATGACAGCCGGGCTAACAAGGCCCCCCACTCCCAGCCCTCTTTCGACTCCGAGCTTCACACAGGGCAGGCACCCTCGTGCAGAAGCCGGGCTGTGGGCGCCAAGAGGAGCGGTCTGGAAACAATTACTCAGCGGAGTCAGGCTCGTAAAGGCTGCGTGGAATGCGCTGGTTTCGGACACATGGAAGCTCGTTTCCTTGTGGGGAAGATGGGGAGGGGGCGGCCAAGGGGCTGGTTGGAATTCTGGCCTGTGGTTCTCGGAAGGGGGGTTGGGGTGTGGACGGCAGAAAGATTACTCCGGAATGTACATAAAGGGAGCCGAATGAAGCGGGAGAAACAGCATCAGGGAGACCAGCAGGGCTGCAGTAGGGGCCCAGGTGGGAGCCGCAGGTACAGGCAGGGGCAGCAGCCCTCTGTCAGGCCGCCTGCTACCCAGAGACGTCTGCAGATGGCGGGATGCTGGCCCGAGGGCGGGGCTGCCCGGGTAAGGGCAGCGGGGGACGTGCAGAACTTCCAGAAGGAAAACCGGGGTTGGGGACACGTGCTGGGCTCATCGGGCAGGCCGGGACAGGCGATGGACGTAGCAAGTTAACAGGGAGGAGCGAGGCTGGTACCCGTCGAGCAGAGCGCCTCCTCTGATTGTCACGACAACCCCACACCAGCCCAACTCCAGGCCGCGGGCTGACGTCACCCCAGATGACGGCGGGGGATGCCACCTGCGAGGCCCTGCCTCAAGCGTGGGGAGCAGAGGGAGCTCTCCGTGCCACCGGCTGTCCCTCCGCACCTGCTCCCCACTTCCTGGTGAGACACACCCTCCACCCCAAGAGTCCAGAGAAGGATAAGATGAAAAATAATCACACAGTAACTACCAGGGCCAGAGAACCACCATGCAGGAGACTCAGTGATCCCAGGGAAAAAATCAAGCTCTCTCCTTTACTGTTTCCAGGAAATAGCGCGGTTTCTTTTCACTTCTGGACGTTGCTGCTTGTCCCCCATGGCCCATCAAGGCCATCCCTAAACGCTAAGGTGCCAAGGTGGACCCCAGCGGGGGTGTGGACCTGCCAGGCCGCCTGCAGGGGTCATTTGAACAGAACAGTTTCAAAGCGGATGGGGGGATGAAGCCCATCAGAAGCTGCAGGACGCAGGCCACCCCCAGCCGGCGCCCACGAGCAGCGGCGGGAGTCACTTCTGTGCTCACAGCCAGCGCCTCCCCTCTGGCTGTGTGTCTAAACTGCCTGCACTCTGGCCACTGTCTCCCCATCATCTGCACACAGGGGGCCTGCCTGGGGTGGGTGGGCACCACACAGAGCCCAAACCCCAAAGCCCAGAGTGGGGATGTGGCCAAGCCTGTATGCTCCTCCTTCTCGGCCCCTAAGTAGTGAAAGCACAGGCTGGAATCCGGGGCCCACCTGAGCTGCCCCAGGAGAGCCATGGAGATGGGGTCTGTGTCTGTCCCCAAGAACCAGACAGAGCAACACCCTCACCCTCACTTGCTGGCTACTCCATGCATCCCCCAGCCCACTGGTGGTGCCTGCTTCCCCAGACTGGGACCCTGGGGAGGATGGCCCAGACAGCCCGGCGGGTCCACGGCAAGGCCTCAGCACACGTTCCAGGTGTGGAGGGAGCTTCCTCCAGGAGCAAGCCGCATCTAGTCGCTCGCCTGCTTTTTGTGTCCTACCAGACTTCTCCAGCACCAGAGGAAGGGGTCCCCTGTTACTCAGGTGCCCAGCGGGGCCCTTGGAGGAGGGGGAGGGCTGGGGGAGTAGGTCGTCCCCCTCCTGCCACATGGCAGCCAAGCCCCGAGTCCCCTGGGGCTGAAGGCCCCTCGCCACCTGCTTGCCCCTCCAGCTGCGCCTGCCTCTTCTTGGCTGTCGGCGCATCTTGGTTCATACGAGGAAGCCGATTATGCAACATGAGTGGACACGAGGCCAACACGTTAGCCATAAACACCCGGCGGAACCACCCAGAGCTGTGGCAGGCGGGCGAGGCTCACACATCTCTCACCAGGATCCCGGCCCATGGAGCCTCTTTTCTCCCAAGTCAGCACAGACTGGAACTCGTGACTCATCATCCACCTGCCCAGCAGGTCGGACAACTGGCTGCCTGGCCCAAGGGCACATCCTCATCCACGCACACACACCTGGGCTCCAGCTCCACTGGGATCTCCCCTGCAGCCAGGGCCAGTCAGGAGAGGGCTGCCGGCCTGCCATCTGAGAGCCTGCCTGGCCTGGTCATTGCTGCCAGACGGCCAGCACCAGCATTCCCCATTACATGCCCATTCCTTTGGCGTTAAAAGCTTAGGGGCCCATCCCTGGAGAGGAGGGGCACACCAGCCTCCCCAGATCCCTGCTGCCCCTCCCCTCCCCCAGGGTGGGTCGGGGCTGGGCCCCCAGGCCCCTGGAGCGCTGAGTCCCCACCCCGAGTTCTGATGGTCACTGTGTCTGTGCTGCCCTCAGCATCTCAGCCACTGGGCAGATGGACACTCGTGCCCCACCATCCCCAGGGTCCCCAGGATCCCTGCAGACCCCAGATTTAAGGAGACACCCCAGGGCCAGGCAGGCGTATGTCAGCACCCCTGCCAGCGCAGTCCAGCCACAGCCACATGTCCAGTGTGGGGCCCTGGCCGGTGACCAGACAACACCCCCCCATCACAAGAGACCTTCTCCCTGCACCCCTACAGTCCTGTCCCAAACCCACTCACTGCCCAGGACTGGAAATGTGGACTTGGGGGTCTGAGGCGGCACAGACTTTGCCCCCAGGTGAGGGAGAGAAACAAAGTCTTGGGTCCCACGGGCTGATCCACAGGCTCTGAGTCACCCCAGGCTGTGATCCCACCATGAGTTTTCCACCAGAAACTCCAGTCTGTGCAGGCAGGAGCACTCAGGTGGCAGCCCTGAAAGGACTGTCAGGCCGGGGCCTCTAAGAACCTGGTGGGGACACACAACAAAGTGGAAAGAGGCTCCGGCCGGGAAGAATACGTGACCAGCAGCTGAGCGGCCTCGAGTCACCAGCACTGTTGTCAGCGTCCGCCCCGGTCAGCCGGCCACCGCCGTGGTTGGGACACCAAATTTGGAGACCGGGCTTTTCCAGGTTTTGTTTTAATTTTGAGTTTATCTCCAGGGCCCCAAGGGAGCCCCGTGATCACTGGTGACCAAGATAAAGGCTGTCGTGGTCGAAGACTCATTCGGGTCCTGGGCTTACAGCAGCTCTCAGTGTTCCCGGTGGGTCCCACCTGGGCACTCCTACCCTGGAGCTCTGTAACAGACCAGTAGTCTGACAGAGGCTTAAGGTTTTGAAAACTGATCTGAGGAAGGACACAGAACAATAAAATGTGGATTCACCCTCAGAAGAAAAGTCCACATTTCAAATCCTAGTGGGTCTGGTTTTTCCCAGTGGAAGACTTTATTCACTGAAATGTGGAGATCACACTCTTCTTAGGACCAGCCCAGCTCAAACCAGCTGTTTCCCACTCAGCACCGCTGACTCTTGGGGTGGGTCATTCTCCGTGCCGGGGTGACCGCGCACTGCGGGGTGTGAGCGGTGTGGGCAGCGTCCCTGCCTCACCCCCACCACTTGGTGCCATAGCACCTTGCACTGACCATCAGCCTGGCCCGTCCCTGAAGGAACAGCCCCCCAGAACCTCCCCCAGGAAGAGCCGAGCTCACACCTTCCCCCTGGGAGGCATCTTGCTACCAACTTACTCTGGAACTGAAGCAATGCCCTGCCAGCCCCGCCCCACACGCTCAGACCCCGTGAGGTCGTCTGTGCCTCAGAGGAGGGTGGAACCTGGCCGGTTGTCCCTAACTAACGGATGGGGACCCTGAGTCTGCCCTGCGTGAGGGCTCCAGGGATCACAAGCTGCTCTCTGCCCACACAACTTTCCAGAGACTAACACGGACCCACACACAGGGCCCTCGTCCACCCAGGCCCTCCCTCTGGGACCTCACCTGGGGTGCCCACCACTGGCCCAGCGCTGGTGTCCTCGCTCCACATGGGGCAGTGACCCCTGACACACACACGTGGAATGCCTCGGGAAGCAGGCCCAGCCGTGACTCAGGACGTCACGACTCTGCACAGCTCTGGGACGAGAGTCAGCCTTGGCCCCCACCCCACACCCAGCACCTCTGGGGCTGCAGCGACGCCAAAAGCGCTTGGCCAGCTCGTGCGTCAGGAGGAATTCTGGGGCATTTGGAGGGAACAGCACCCAACTCAAATTACAGTGGAAATCAGTGCAGAGAGGGCCTGCCAGGGCTCTGCTCTGACCCGTGGCCTTTCTCCCAAGTCCATAACGCCCACAGCACTGACGGGACCCCACACGTCTCACACCTGCCCCCTAGGAGGGACCATCTGCTGGCACCTGAGCCCCTCAGGACAGACCCACCAGTCTGTGTTCATGAAGGCTGTGCGAACGAGGCACAGGAGGAAATCAGAGAGGTCTGGTGAGTGAGAAGGGACCACTGCTGCCAGACCAGAGAGGCCGGGGAGCCCCCAGCCACCGCCCCCCCAGGCACCACACTCACCCGACAGGCCGTGCAGATCTGACCCCGCGCGCCGGCTGGTCAGCTCGTACTGGAAGCCCGTCGTCCTCCGGCTGATGTCCTGCTGGGGCGTGGCCTCCACGAACAGGCCACCCTGCTCAAAGCTGAAGCACGGCTCCTGGCCGGGCCCGCGGTCCCCGTCCCGCACCAGCAGTCTCAGTTCTCCAGTTTTCTCCAAATAAATATTGGCCCCCGAGGAGCCCCTGAGGGGCTTGATGCACAGGGTCAGGGGTCGGGAGGGCGAGAAGGTGTTGGGCCGCAGGTTCACGATGAGCGCCCCGGTCGGGTACATCCACTCGACGGTGCCTGCGGAGCAGCGCAGGTACACCTGCTCCACCTCCTTCCTGTGGGCCTCGTGCGTCAGCCCGCTGCGGGGGTGGGGAGACATGTCAGTGTGCAGCGGGGCCAAGCAGCCCTCCCCGCCGGCAGGCTGAACACCCCCAGCCCACTGCTCAGCCCGGGCCCACGGCCTCCCCCGCCCCTCCCTTCCAGCTCTGGTCAGCGCAGGAGCTTCTGGCTCCCAGACCCCTGGACACCTCAATGTTCGGTGGAGGTGACAGGTGCAGTGGAGGTGAGGACCAAGGAATGGGAGCTCTTCCAAATAATAAATGGGGAAACACCAGCAGGACTTTGGCACCAACCCAAGTTCCAGGTCACCAGGTGAGGCTGGGAAGTCAGGGCCGACCCCCGAGTGTGAACACTCGGCAGCAGGCTCCGTTACAGGAGGTACACGAGCACGCAGTGCTCACGTAATAAAGAACGCCCTCCAAAGAGCAGCTTTTAAGCCGACCGGGCACATCAGTGACGTGGCGGGGGGTGGAGGTTGCTGGAGAGTTTTGTCTTGGGGTCACTGTTAGGCACAGGGCTCCTATTTTCCTGACGGTGATGATTTGACCACTTTCTCATGCATTTACAAACCTGAGGACCCTGCATTGCCAACTGCATTTCTGAAGACAAACTCAAATATCTAAGGAAAATACAAAAGTAAGGCAAACGTTTCCTCCACGGGGAGACATGGGACAGAAGGTATGGAAAAGCCAAAGAGAGGGGACACAAAAGGCACACAGACACCTACTCTTCTCAACAGGGACTGTGAGGGAGCCCAGCAGGCTTCACGCCTAATACATGCCAAACAGGAAAAAATGAGGTGTGCTGCGCTCTCGGGGAGACAGGTCTTAAGTAAAGTCATAACGTTATGTTTTCGAGAAATAGAAACCATCAAAAGCGTTAGTTTCCCTGCTCAAAATTGTAATGTAAATGTCAGCTTGTGGTAACGGTACGTCACAGCCACCAAGCTGCCCTGGAACTCAACCAGTGACTTCAACTTAGTGTTTTATTACATGAAATTTGGTTCTGATCAGATCTCAGACAGGTTCACCCACATTCTTAGGATTTTTATGTGGCATAAACAATGCTATATTCAGAGCCCTGGCCTGAGCGAGTTACCAGAAACCCCGTCTGCAGAGGAGAAAACACATAACATATGGTTTGCATTTACTGTTGGTGACTCATGCTCCGGGCCCCGAAAAGCCTCACTTTTCATACAGCGGCCAGCTGCAGGCTGGGGCTGCCCAGTCATCCTGCAGACCACATCAGAAGGAGGTGTCGGGGAGGTGAACTCCCTCCTCACCCCGCTCCCCACCCCCAAGGCCCTGGGTCATAAGCAGCCCGGCCTCAGACGCCTACCAGGGCCGCACACGCAGAGCAGACTTACAAATTATCGTCAAATAAAACTCACACAAGCTCATGTGACGCACAGGAGGGAATGGGCATGATTATAGTGCTGGGTGAAAAAATTAGACTAAATGGTGTGTGGTTGCCCCAGATGACTATAATTAGCTCTGCTCCTGTGCAGCCAAACAGACTTTATCATAGTGTCCCTCCTCTCCTGTCTCCAGCCTCAGGGGGCAGCTGGACACTTGTCTTGTGCCCAGGCACCCATTCTCAACTCTCTTCCACAAAAACTGTCCTGTCCAAGGCTTTGCTTCCCTCTCGGTAGTGAGGAGGGGCCCTTGGAGTGGAGGGAGGGGAGAATCTGCACCTCAGCCCGTGGGCACCTCTCACTAAGCTGCCTGAACCCCAACAGTGGAGGGGAAATGGGGAGGCCCACCCTTCACCACACCTTGGCAGGGGCAGAGGGAACCCTCATGGGGACAGATGGCCAAACCACGCGGTCCAAGGGAAGGCAATTCGCAGCCTGGGGACTGCAGTACACCAGCCTGCACGTGTGACCACACTCATCTTGTGGGGATGCCTGGCTCCGCTTATTTGTAAGTTGCTCCCCTAAAAGAGGACTAGGACTCAAATGCAGATTGACACAAGAAATAAAGCACCCCTCACTTAACCCTCTACTGGATCCGCCTCGTACCCAGAGCCGGTATGGGCCCTGTTCTGCTGTTCTCTCGTTCTTCTAAAACATCGGGACCAGCAAGACTTCCGCTAGGCACCCAGCGCAGGAGCGTCCACCCTCACACCACAGCCTGCCAGGTGCAAAACCTGCATTTAAACAAACATCTGCTCCGTTCAGTGGGACCCCGGCCCCTCAGCCTGGGGCCTGCTGAAGTTGAGGTCTGTCCAGTTCTAACCAGAAAATCAAGCCACCACTGAGAGCCTGAAAAAAACTCCTATTTATGAAGAAGTGCTGCAGGTGCAAAAACACGCATCGGCGATGGCCACGGACGATGGCACCTCCGGCTTTCCCAGGACACACAAGGGATACACTAACGAGCAAAAACAGTCACTGCTCTCTGGTGTTGTCGTGAAGCTAAAAGACGCAGGGGAAAGTGAGTTTCTAGTTAACCTCAGGGAGCTGAGAAGACTGATTTAATCTCGGATGATCTGAACTGAACTAGTGCATTTTCTTAAGAGTCGAAAGGGTTTCTGGTAACTCGCTCAGGCCAGGGCTCTGAATATAGCATTGTTTACTCCACATAAAAAGTGTCACTCCCCAGGCAGACAATCCAGGTGGAGGTACTGGGTGAACACCGTGCCCCTGGAGCACCTTTATGGAGAAGATGTCAAATCCCAAGTCATTACAGGGACTTTCTGCAGGGGTCAGTGTGGTGGCAGCAGAGCCCACACCCCTCACACCCACAGCCTAGCCCAAACCTGAGTCACCAGAAGGAAACGCCGGCCTCTTGTTGACCAAAGTCAGGAAGAGCTTCATATCCAGGGTGAAACCAAAGGGCTCTGCTGATTGGGGTTACCTTTCACATTCCCACTGAGCAGGACAAGCAGCCCAGGTGCGACACACTGGCAATGCCCAGCCCGCAGCAGTGGGAAGGTTCATGGTCCGCCTTTACAACCACGGCCTAATAAAGATAGGGCAGGCCCTGCCCCTGCACAAGGGAGACGGATTTCAAAACCTTGTGCTTAATTGCTTGGAAACACCCAGAAACACATTCAGCCTGTCAACTGTGAGTGGCCAGTGTCACAAAGAGCAACCCCCTTCCTATCAAGAGAGCAGAGTCCACCCCGCACGTTGGAGCTCGCACCACACTGCGCTGTCTTCAGAACGGCTCATAAAAAGTCACAAATGCTACAGAGTCAGCAGGCAAGCTGGCACGCCAGGGTTTCGACAGCACGAATCCGTCAGCTGATCTGTGACACAGCTTGATAAGTGGGGGCACTGATTACGGTACAAGGGGGGCTTACGCTCCAGGAATGTGGCCTGGACCTGTCTCTGCTCCAGCTCCTGCCCACAGCTCCTAATGCCACTGCAGCCACCCTCAGCTAGGTTCTGCCTCTGGGTTGAGCAGAGGACACTGGAGGGTGTCCAAGACTGGGGGTCCGTTAGCAATGATGGAGGCAAAGGGTCTGCAGCTAAGCCTCCCTGCGACCCCAGGTAGATGAGAGGATGCACAGGAACGGGAAGGTGAAGGAGGTCGTCCGCCCATTGCAAGCACCTGCTTGGTCCAGGAGCAGGTTGGCCTGTGACCAGCCCTCACTCAAAGCCCCTCTGGGCTCCAGGGGGATATCTTCTTCCAGGCACACAGAACCTGAAAAGGATGTCAGCGCCTCCTCTGGAAACTCAGGCTCACAGGGTGGGACTGGGCTTCTGTTTTTGATCTGCTGAGGCAGGACACCCCAAGGCCTCAGTTTGGGGATGCACTCATTCATCCAGCAGAGGCTGCAAAGCAGGGAGTTTAATTACCAGCGAGGGGGAAAGGGCAGCCCCAGAAGAGAGTGTGAGAGTCAGAGGCTCCCAGCCAGCTCTGTGCTGGCGCCAGCGTTCTCCAGGCCAACCCTCCCCCGGAGCTCCCATCCGTGCTCAGGGCCCCAGCCTCAGCGCCGTCACCCCTGCCTGAGTGTGAGCTGGGGAGCTTCTGCCGAAGGCAGGGCAGGGAACACCGTCCCATCCTCAGGAGCCCAGGACCCTCACTCCAGGAGGGGTGAGAACCGGAGAGATGGGAGCAGGGTAGGTAACTGCGTTTCTACAGCGAACCGGGTCTGTACATACCCAAGATAACCAGCGGCTGTGGACACTGAACCCAGTGCAGTGGCACAACCCCCACCTTCTCAGAAAACCGGCTTCACGCAGAATAACCGTGTCACACCCCCAAGCTGAGGTGTCTGCCAGCCGGAGTCTTCCCATCAGATCTCAGGGGCTTGGGTGGGGGCCCTGCTCCGTCGGACACCCCGACACCCAGACCCAAGGTCAGCCCCGGCCCACAGCATTTTCAGAGAAGACGCTAGTTTCTCCCTCCGCAAACTCCTGAATCCTCAACCTCCCAGGCACAAAGCTGGCTTCCCTAAGGCGAGGTGCCTGGCGCGGGGCCGTCGCCCTGGCGGACGGCGCTTCGCGTCCTGAGTAGCTGCGCCCTCAGCCCCGCCCACGCTTGT